AAGGAATAAAAATGATCTTTTTTGCAAAAACTTTTCGATCCTTGTGGTTATCTGGAGTCTTTGGCAATTGAATTTTCAGTGCCTCTCTTCGTTTCAACATTCAGACTGCAACTTACTGTGAACTTTTATCAGGACGCTATTCTGCTCCGTCCACCACGCAAGATGGAACCACGTAGAGAGAGGGAGTTCTTCATCAAATGGAGGTATATGTCATATTGGCATTGCGAATGGGTCAGCGAGACGTTGATGGATGTGTACTTCACAGCGGTATGTTTTCTTCCTGATGACTTATATATCCTCCTTCTGTTCTTCTGTTGATCTCAGTTTTAACAGCCAGCCTATTATCAGCTGCTGCGAATGTACTGGCGAAAGTATGATAGTGAAAATCCACCCATCTTTGACGAATCGACAGCCCAGCGGCACCACAAGGATAATGATCCTTACGAGCTGCGTGAGAAATTCTACCAATACGGCATAAAACCAGAATGGATGCAGGTATTTTGTTTTTTGACTATCTCCCTATGTTGCAGAGTAAATGATGTTCCTTCGGAAAACCTAAACTTTAAAGGTCCACCGGATTATAAATCATATGCAGTACGGGAAAACCCAGTTTGATTATCTCGTGAAATGGAAGGAACTCGCATACGAGCAAGCCACCTGGGAAAGAGATGATATGGATATTGCTTACTATGAAGATGCCATAAACAAGTATTGGATACACAGGTAAGCAGAAGATTTTCAGAGCTGCCTTCCTGAGAGGTCTGGTTGTAATCGTATAGTTCCGAGTTCCAGAGAGAAAATGCTTGGCGAACCAATTCCTAAGCATATCGCCAAGAAAATTGCTGCTCAGAGAGAGAAGAAAGGGCTCCCACCTCTTGAGAGTACTGACGATCAGCTAAACAAAAAGAGAAAAACGTGGTGACAAGCCTCTTGTTGATGTAGGTTTATGGGACTTTTCTTTTCACACGATGGTTTTCTGCAGAAATTGTTTGAAGAAACTTCTTTAGATACGGAAGAAGTACGAAGTGCAACCTGACTACATCTCAGAAACCGGCGGGACCCTTCATCCCTAGTCCAAGCATATGCAAGGCCATCCAATCTCTGTTTTCCAAATATATAAATAGTTCATGTCAATTGTATCTTCATACGTGACCTAAAAGAACAAAAACAAGAGTGTTATTTCAAGGCCATTAATCTGAGTTACGGCATTGTTCGTCCATGGAAACCGACGCTGATTAATTGCGCGGCTAGTTGAAATGGGGTCTTGGAAAAAGGACGGTCAGTCTTGTCACTTTCTATATTCGCCTGCTAAAGGAAGGCCAGGTCGAAAGGGCCGTTCATTGTACGTCACCTTTTGTTTAGCTGTAAGATTGCGTTCATACTTTGAGACAGCGCCCACCAGAGTATAGGAGCGTTTCAGAGAGCGGACACCAGCGTTTGCCAGCGTACAGCAGCGTTCAGGAGTGTAAAATATGGGGGAAGTAGGTGGGTAGCAGACAGCTGGTTAGATGTCGTGAAATTTGCCTGCGTCAGTGCAGTCAAACTGTGCGTCCAAGCACTGCATAACTCGTGTTTGAAAAGCTTGCAATTCACGGCGTCTTAATCCAGCAGTATCTGTATGCCTCCGTTCTCCGTAACTCCCACTCCTGGACGCCAGTGCAAACGCTGGAGAGATGACGTTGCTATGTTCGCGTATCTAACTTTTCCTGTTCGCTGGCTGCTGGCATTGCTCGATTACCCTAGGCTACACCAGTGGCAAGGGTTGCCTCAAAATGATGAACGCAGCTCTCAGGAGACTAGCAATCCGATTTTCCTACGTTTTACACATCTTTAGATTGCATGCCACCACTTTCAACAATTCATCAAATGCGACGTGAGGCGGACAAACTAATTGTGTCCAGGAACTTCTATTTGTGACCTATGTGTTGAGATCGTGGATTCAAGAATGCGTTCATTAGGAGGGAGCATGAGTTTCATTGTTGAAGGAGCCTAAAGGTGAGAAAACTCAATCGTTGCGGAACGTCAAGTCTATGTATTTGATCGTCTCTTTTCTTCTTATAGCAGGAGGTCCTAAAGCTTCACGAATGCGATCGCAAGAAAATATGAAATTCCACGTTCTTCTCACTTCGTATGAGTGCATCAACATGGATAAGGTACATAAGTCTTTTGAAACGCTTTAAGTGTATAGAAGACCATACTCCTCTCCTGCCCCCCCCCCCCCCTTACTCACTAATTCATATGGAAGAAGTTGATTTAGGTCCTCTGTTCTGTGAGCATAGGCTTATAAGTATAAACAAGTAATCCTTTGGCAATCACTCTGGTCTATACCTACAGTTCACCTTTGTTTTCCTTGATCTTTCAACCCAACTTCTCTGATTTTCTCAAAACAGCTCAAAAGCGCTTTGGAGTCAGCTATATCGTTTATGATGCTTAGCCATTTTCTCTTCAGGCAATATTGTCCTCTATTCGAATGGGAAGCTCTTGTCGTTGATGAAGCTCATCGCTTGAAGAATAATCAATCTACGTTTTTCAAGAATCTTCGGTAGGTTGCCTCATCACTTTATTGTGTATTGTGCTTAATAAAGGATTTTTCAGTGAATACAACATTAATTACCGCTTACTGTTGACTGGTACACCACTACAAAACAACCTCGAGGAGTTATTCCATTTGCTCAACTTCTTGGCTCCAGACCGTTTCTTGTAAGTGTTTCGACTTTGTCGTAATTTTTTTGTAAAAGATTTCTCTCTTGAGCATTACCCGCAATTAGACGCGCGTCATGGCAGATAGAACACCGATGCTGTCAAGGGAACGGTGTCAGCTCAGGGGTTTGTGGTCTACCTCTGTCCGGGTGCGCCGACATTTGCCCGTTCCTAAGAACGCGTACATACTTTGCATCGGCGCTTTTAGCTTACACCTGCATTTCGAGCGACCAAGAAGTTGTAGATGTCGATCTAGCGTTTCAAGCGTACGTTGCTCAGCTCGCTAGATCGGTGCCTATACTTTCCCTGGTCGCTCAAGACGCTGACGCAAAGTATGGAGGCACTCGTAGTGTCAAACTATCGGAACATGAAAAGTCTACAAAAAACGCAGTGGGAGCGAAACGTTTTTGTAAGTTACCGCTAGAGCGCGAGAAAAGTCGCTTTCGTTTTTTTTTTCGAGATCGAGTGTTTTCCCTCTGACGCATCTACTGCCGTGAAGAACAGCGGAACTACTCTGTGGTCGTCTCGATAGACATGCTGTGAACACATGGTTGTGGAGCGAGGATCCCAGTGGGGCATATGGAGGCTAGCGTCATGAATGGTTCCAGAATTGATCTAAATTCCGGCTTTCAATCCCTCGCTTGCATTTCTGTCGCTGGCTAGATTACTGCGTGTCCGACGCTGCTTCTCTGTTTGGACCTCACGTGATTAAGCAAATAACACAAGTTTTGTTTTTGCGGCGTACATCACTATTTTCAGCGACTTGGAGTCCTTCACTTTGGAATTTGCCTGAAATCTCCAAAGAGGATCAGATTCAGAAGCTACATTCATTGCTGGGTCCTCATATGTTACGTCGTCTCAAAGCTGACGTGCTCACAGGGATGCCCTCCAAGAGTGAACTCATTGTCCGAGTCGAACTCAGTTCTCTACAGAAGTATGTTTAATATTCATCTTGGTTATTTATTCAATCTATATCCCCTCTCCTATATGACAGTTGTGTTCAACAGTCATTGACATCTGTACTCAAGATGTTGTTTGTCAGCTTCTGGTGCTTTAATTAATGTAAACAGGCTGTTAATGAAATAGTAATAGAATCGACTATTAGTTTAGGGGTCTTAAAGTTTCCGTTGTTACCTTCCAAAAGTGGGTGATGTGCTGCTAAATTCCTAGGAAGTACTACAAGAACATCCTGACTCGTAACTTTGACGCTCTGAATGTCAAAAACGGTGGATCGCAAATGTCTCTGATCAACATTATCATGGAGTTGAAAAAGTGTTGCAACCATCCTTACCTATTCGCCAAAGCCAGTATGGAAGCACCAAAGCTCAAGAATGGGATGTAAGTCATTTACCGTTGTATATTCCCCAATCTATCATATTTATCTTCATTGCTGTTCAGGTATGAGGGGACACAACTGATCAAAAATGCTGGCAAATTTGTTTTGCTGCAGAAAATGATGAGGAAACTGAGAGAAAGTGGTCATCGTGTATTGATATTCTCCCAAATGACAATGTAAGTGTTTTTCATTCATGGGGTCTGGGACTGCCAACGCAATTAGATCGTCTTAGGATGTTGGATATTCTGGAAGACTTCTGTGAGGTCGAGGGTTACAAGTATGAAAGGATTGATGGATCTATAACTGGTCAAGCAAGACAGGATGCTATTGATAGGTTCAATGGTACGCTTCCATTCTTGTAAACTATTAGAGAACATATACTAGCTTGGTCAGTTTTAGCTCCCGGCGCGCAACAGTTCGTCTTCCTCCTTCTCTACTCGAGCTGGTGGCCTCGGTATCAATCTTGCAACCGCTGATACTGTAATTATTTATGACTCAGATTGGAACCCCCATAATGATATTCAGGTAATATTTTATTCAATTGAAACCAAAATATTCTTCCAGTCAATATCTCCGGGTAAACTCACTTCAGGCATTTTCTCGAGCTCATCGAATTGGGGGACACATAAACCAAAGTGGATGATTCTAACGTTTTTCGTACACCAACGAAAAGTTCCGTCGGAGAAGCGAATCACTTCGGCTTGACGAAAAAGAAGGATGTGTGCTCACTCAGTGGTGAGTACGACGGCCGGTCTTGCCAAAAAGGGGCCTAGTATGAAGTAAAGTCAGAGATTGGACGATGTGCTGAGTGGAACCGTTTATCCATTTCTGACGCGTTGCCCGAGTCAAGAGACGAGTCTCAACTTGGGTAGGGCTGCGTGTGGTATGGAGGGTAAGTGCTGAGCACGTAGCCCTTCTACTTGTTAATCCTGATGTGGGCGCTTTGCTAGTAGGTCAGGCGACAAACGTATTGCGAATGTTTCATGCGGCGCGGCGAATCTATAGTATACGAAGCTTCTTGACATAGATGCTCTCCAGTGCTATGAAGGTGGCGTACCTTCAGTAACCCTCGGAATTCCTGACCCGTTTGCATACCGCAGCTGCAATGATGGTCCGCACTGAAGAATCTGTCACTTTCGGGTGCACTCGGAGAGCGCGACGAGTGAGGCTTTAGGAGAATTAGTAGATCAGCCAGATGCCTATCGGACTACGAGCGCGTAGCAGAAGACTGCAGCGCTCGCCCACCAGGCAGGCGTCCACTGCGGCCGAGCGCGCTAATTTTTGCGCGTCTCACGCCTGATTTTTAAGAATAGGCAGCCTTGACGTCAATAGTGGATTCGCTGGCGGGACGTCTCATCGACGCACTGCTGAAGCAGAAGTGTAGTCGCCGAAACGGGATCCAGCTATCAGCACTCACCAGGTTCATTTCCCCGTACTTCTGACTGTGTCCACCTCGCACATGGAAAATATCCATATTGCCGTAAGCTCATAGCAGATCGTTAAGGGCTGTTCGCTTGATGGTTTCCTACCTAGCCTGAAATGCTAGTAGGGGGAAATATAGTGTAGGGGGGAAATATAGTGTACTACTGTATAGTGGGGAAATGGCGAAAGAACGGAGTGAAACGGTCAAAATCCTGCGAAGAAAAACCTCCGTTCTCAGTGACTTGTAAATCGATTTCGGACGAGTTTCCCGTAGGCATCTTACCAATCACCGCTACCGAAGATACGGCTGCATATGTGTACCCATGTATGCATGCAGCATCACGGCCGCTTCATACCAATCCCTTCGCTTCATAATTTGCTTAGCAAATGAATGAATACGAGCGTCAGGAACGGTCGTCCATTTGTGGGCGGGCGGGCGTTTGGGACGCGTTAAATGTTGTATAGGGACGTTAAGGCACCTTTCCTCAGGGAAACCGCGCAGCGCCTGCCCAGGGTCGGGGAATTCTATCCTGCCAGGAGTATTGATCCTATGTATCGCTCTTGGGGGATTTATCGTGCCAACTGCCTTTAAGGGCACGCCCCTCATACAGGAAATGCCGCACACGACAGAGACGCTCAGCTTACCTGAGATATTGAGCCTTCATCAATTTTTTTTCTTCTCCTACGCTATCAAAATCCTTTTCAGAATTATCTCATTGACTTTTGTAGCATGCGCCGCCGATTTAGGGTATGCTGTACCCAAAGGCAACTGAAGGGTCCTCTTCATTTTTATCAGTGTAGCTATTGCTCGAATGTTTTTTTTTTGCTTATGCCGTCCTCTGAGGTGCATTCACCCGCCGTGGGTGCGGTTTAGCTCGGTCTATGCCAGGCTATTGGCTGTATGATCTTTTGTTTGCCGTAAATTTAGAGCTGAAATATTACAGATGGGGTACGGAAGAATTGTTCAAAGATGATGAACCACCACAAGGAGAGCCAACTGAAGGCGAACCTGGGAAGAAAGCGAACGAGAATGAAATCGTTTGGGATGATGCTGCTGTTGAAGCTCTACTAGACAGAGACAGAGACACCGATCCAAAGGCATGCTTACAGGATACACTTTTGATTTTTTGCCCTGTTGATGTTCCTCTATTTGACATTCAGTCAATGGAGAGGGAGACTTGGCGTATCATGGCGTATAGTGATCTTACTGTGTCAAAGGAAGTGGTTCCTCAATGATGGAGGCGGGCGGTGGCCACCAGCGTCTTTGGTGGAAAAGGGTGCGAGAGGGCGTTTACTCCGTCCTTCCACCAGTGACGTTAGCCGCAACCGCCCGCCCCTAGCCATCGTATGCCTTTGAGTAATGGTAGGTTTTGAGGACAAAGATGGCGAGAAAAAGGAGCATTGGACCAACGAATACCTCAGTTCATTCAAAGTGGCGACGTATACCACGAGGGAAACTGACGACAAAGAAGAAGAGGAAGAGGAAGAAATGGAGGTAAGAGCAACATAAGTACTATAGATTTGCCGGCTGTCAATAACTTTTGATACATAATGGAGAAGGCCTCATTCATATTCAAGGTTATCAAGGACAACGATAAGGAGCCTGATCCCGACTATTGGGAGAAGCTTCTTCGACACCATTATGAGCAAGACCAAGAGATGGAAGCTCAGAAACTCGGCAAAGGCAAGAGGCTGCGCAAGCAGGTCAACTATGCAAGCGAAAACATGGGTCAGGATTGGCAGAATCGCGCTGGAGAGGTTATTTTCAGTGTATACGGCTTCTGTAACTCTGCACAATATATTGTATTTTAGCAACAAAACAACGATGATGATGATCTCTCTTCGTATGACGGTGGTTCCGAAAAAGCGTCAGGTGAACACTCTGACGATGACTTCGAAGGCATTGGAGGAGAGAAGAAGAAAAAACGAGAACGTGATGCTGAGAAGCTCCCACCACTCCTTGCAAAAGTAGTTATTGCATTCATGACATAGTACTTCTCTAGCACTTTCACGACTCATTTTCAGGTCAATGGCCAACTGGAAGTCCTTGGTTTCAATCCCAGGCAGCGTCGAGCTTTCTACAATGCAGTTATGCGCTGGGGAATGCCTCCACAAGATGCTTATCAATCACAGTGGCTTGTAAGTGAATTGTTATAACGATATTCTTCGTAACTGGTAATGGCTCAGCTTCAGACCCGTGATCTGAAAGGGAAATCGGAGAGAGCGTTCAAGACGTATACGTCACTGTTCATGCGACACTTGTGTGAGCCTGGCGCAGACAGTCAGGAACGTTCAATGACGGAGTTCCGAGAGAGGGACTTAATAGGCAGCACGTGCTTACTCGTATATCGCGTAAATAGATGAGCCTTGATTCGGAAAAGGTTCAGTGCGTGATTAGGCCCTGAATTTCACCTGAAGGCATAAGGATAGGTTGAAACCTGGGACTGTTCAGGGGGGGAGAATTCGAACAAGTGAATGGTGAGTGGTCGATGCCAGAGCTGCGGATAAGGAAAGTTTGGAAGCATGGCCGTGGCCAAGGCGGTGAAAGACACGGGGTCGTCATCAAAAGCAGCAGCGGACAGAGTTGCTTGCTCCAGAATGCAATTGAAAAGAAGATAGCTATGTGAATGTTCTGATGGAAGCACCCAGAATCGGTGGAAGGTATAATCGTCACGTGTAAATCAGCGGCTATAAGAAGTCCGGAAGAGTTGTCGAATCGGTTAGTACCATTGAGCCCTTTCTGTTTCTTAAGGGATGGCCGCGCCAAGCCGAAGAGCAGGCCGGATTACCGACGGTAGCACCGGGGAGCGCATGGCGGACGTGCTCAGCAGGATTCGACAAGACAGATTCCAATAGCAAACTTCGGCGGCGTGTTGACCGAAGCAAGTGATGCAGACTCACGAAAAAGGCCGGACTGCCCCTGCCGTTCAAGTTCAACATGGGATGGTTCGTAACGCTATTTATTTTTCCTTTAATTAGATACAGTCAGTATGTTAATAGGTCAATATCCATAGATGAAGATATCTATCCAGGCGCAGGGCATCGTAGTATGGGGGACGTGGCGTGGCCTGGATTGAATGATTTAAGGGGAGGTGGGGGGGACGTATTCGGCCTGAGAAAACGTTTTTCTGAAATAGTTGATATCTTCCCTTTCCGAGCACACGATGTCTAAGGTCGACAAGGACGAGGGGCATGTCAGACAGGATGAGTCTAGGCGCGGATGGCCGAGCCCGTTTCTCCAACAGTAACATTGGTTGAAAACCAAGTGATGCAAAGTGACGAGAGTCCGCGTACTCACTATCATTCGTTCACCCGAGTCGTTTATGTGTCGCATGCCCATGTTTTTCTATGGTGAAAAAAAAATCAAAAGTCGTTTGGCTCTACCGACACCCGCGCTCAACGCCTGTTTTTGGGCAGGAAAAGTGGGAAATTTTTTGCAAAGCGGTGTAAGCTAAGAGAAAGTAGAGGAGGTGGTGATTAGGATAAATGGGGGAGAGTCGTAGAAGAGAAAGAAGTTTGAGGGGGGGGAGCGTATTTTTCCAAACTTTCCGCCAGCGGCGTAAAGGTGCCCTGATCCAAGCACTTCAATTATTCGATGTTTCAGATGGTGGATTCACCGAGTTGCATACGTTATGGGTGAATGAGGAAAAGGCCGCTGTTCCTGGTAACGAATATGAGATTTGGCATCGCAGGCATGACTACTGGCTCCTTGCCGGCATCGTGCAGTACGTATTAGTATTAACATTTTTCACAACACCACTCCATTGTTGGCTCTTTCAGGTATGGTTACGGGCGGTACCAAGACATTCAACTAGATCCCCGTTTTGCCATAATCAATGAACCATTCCGACAGGAACAAGGGAAAGGGAATTTCCTAGAAATCAAAAACAAGTTTTTGCAAAGGCGTTACAAGGTACATTCTAAAATCCGTCAGCTCTGTTTCGTGATTACCTCGTTTCCTTTCCAGTTGCTTGAGCAAGCACTAGTGATTGAAGAGCAACTCCGGCGTGCCGCCTACATGAACCTGCAAAATAGCACAACTGATGGCACTGCACAATTAGCTCAAAGATTCGCTGATATAGAAAACGTGGCCGATTCGCATGCGAACGTCGCTAAGGATTCTGCCGCTGGTAATCGAAATGCGAATGCTGTCCTCCATAAAGGTGAGTTGAGCGCTGCGTAGAACGTGAACACGCGAACCGGGACAATGCTTCAGGTATTTGTTATGCCGTTGAAAAATTAAGGGTGCAATTTCAGTATTGAATCAACTGGAGGAACTGCTGTCGGATATGAAGGCAGATGTTTCTCGTCTTCCTGCTACTCTGTCGCAACTTCGACCTGTTACACACCGACTGGCTATGACCGAGAGACAG